AACAGTTTATGCGGAATGGCTATCCTAAGGCCTACACAAGCCGATGCCTACGTGCTCGCTCTCCGAAGGCCCAAACAGAACCAACCCCTTTGATTTTGCATGCGCTGCCATATATCAATGTTGTGTCGGAAGCGACCGAACGCATTGCCACGGGACAAGATATCGGAATTGCACATCGTCCCAAGGCTTCAATGCGTAGCCTGGTCATGAGAACCAAGGACCGGTTAAATCCCAATGAACAGTTGGGTGTAGTGTATCGCATACTATGTCTAAACTGTCCCATAAATTACACGGGACACACTGGACGCATACTAGGTTCGCGCCTACACGAACATAAGCTGACTGTTCGACGGGGTAACGCATTATCGCGAGTGGCGGCCCACACCTCCGAGACGGTTAACGAATTCAACTTCGTAGCTGTGCGGATAATTGCCCACGCCAACAGCAAGACAGACCGAGAACTGATTGAAGCCTGGGCGTCGGATGATCACTCCGATAACCGATGTATCGAGCTGGCGCCCTCATATGTTGCCCTGCGCAGGTATCCTCAGACTCACGACAGTGGTGGTTAATTGATCCTGTCCCTCCCCTGCCTCCGCCCCTCTGACGGTGAATTGGACCCTTTCCCTATAAATATTGCTTGTTTTTGTTGACGATTTTATCTCCACGATGGACTCCCGTAACAGTTCGAAAGTTCAGTCTAATGAAACTATGATTCCGGTGATCGGCACAGCTTCTTCTTCTCAATCTATAAACAAACCTGGGGTGCAGACCTTTGCCTCAATTCGCAAGCAGACTTGTGTTTCATCTACCGCACTTTCGCTTCCTTCACTCGCCTGAAGCCGATTTCAAGACAGGGCATGGAAGAGCGAAGGCGTTAAAGACGGCCACGGATTGTACACACGCAAGAACACGTCTAGCCGTGGAGAGCAAGCCAATATGGCTTTTGCTACGGTAAGCTCCAATTTTATAAACGGCCACAGGCATCACGGTCATTTCGCATACGAACAAAAGTGATTCAGTTGTCAACATACCTCTGGGAGTCCACTAATGAAATCGTGAGCATTTGCAATCTTCGCCGCATGTTCAATTTCATCTTGGCTGGCTTCTGGCTTCATCATGCCAATGTTTGTTCTTACTGATCCTGCAAACAGGACTGGTTCCTGTGAGACGACACCCAGTTGCTCTCGCAGCCACTTTACATCTAGGTCGCGGATGTCCACGTCGTCAATTAGAATCTGTAAAGCGAATTTTTTGATGTTTTGTAATGGAGAAAAAATTGATGCTGTAAGTTATTTTACAAATAAAAATGGGCCTGTTTCTTACCTGGCCTTGGTTTACGTCGTAATGCCGCTGAATAAGTTGTACTATTGTACTTTTTCCCGAACCACTCGGTCCAACTATCGCAACCGTCTCACCAGGTGTAATTGTTAGGTTGAAGTGTTTCAAAATCTATATTAAAATATGGAAAAGATTAGCATCAAAACCCTTTTGCCCCAACAATTTCACTTTTTTTCCTTCTCCTGCTTATAAACCGAGACACTTGATAAGATTGCACCCAATTTTAGTAGAGAAGTAATAGCTCCTTAAAGATTACGAGCAAGCCTTAACATAAACTGAAGCCTAATAGATGACAGGGCAGGAAAATAAGATTTTAAAAAATGCCCTTTTAAGGTAGATTTATATTTTTAATCAACTGAGAAAGCTAAGAGAGTACACCGCAACAATGAATTGGCGCAAAGCATAAAATAATTCCATTTTTAAAACCCTGCTTTCTCTTCCACGGGCCAAAAGAATATCTGATTGCGTTGTTCGGTTCGGCTTTCTAACTAAAGGCAGAAATTGCCAGAACATATATCGCTTTATTTACTAGATATTAGTTCTCATATAACCGCTCTCCTCGATGATAGCGAGCACTCGTGCTCTCCATTTTAATTTATTTTGCCTGCTTGACTTCCAAAGCAATCAGATGCTTGTCTAGGCCTTGACAACTATTAAAAGTACTTTAGGGAATGTCAACAGAAAAGTTAATGGCTTGGCCACTTTAGCTCCCTTGTTATGCATTAGCGATTCCTAAATTTACTGAAAAAGACGCCTTAGTTGCAAAATATTTTTTTGCCGAACGGGCCTTCAAAAAACACAAACATTCGACCTACCGGAATATTTGGCCTCTGTGGATAAGAAAACGAAACGTCTCTAAATTCTATTCGTCCACGGAATTCGTCCAGCTGCCTCCCACTTCCCTCTGAGTTTATTACAGGCACCTACGTAGCAAGGGGTAGTAACTTCAAGGGTAATTAACTTTTGCAAATAAAAAGAGAGAAACAATATTCTTGCTGTGGTCTTTACAAAATATCCTGTGCCAATTCTCTGACAAGTCGTTTATTCATTAGTCCTGAGTTCGAGATAGAAGTTGTTTAAAATTATCCTGAAACTTAGACAAATATACCAAAATGTAAATGCATTAAACTACAAGGTGCAGTCGAAAGTGACCTACTGTTCAAAGGTGTTGCCCTCGAAAGGTTGTCATGACTTTACCCCTCAACAACTAATTTAGCGGAAATTAAGTCCACAAAATCGTTTTCTGGCTGCGTATGCCCATATGCGTTTGTAGGGTAAATTTCTTGTTAAATGTTGCACTTAATTCCCAATTTTTCTCCATATGTGTCGCAGTATAACAAAAGATAGCCGACTGATGTCTGACTGTATGTCTTTCTAACATTTTTTATCCCCCCTTGAACACCTTGAGGATCACAAACGCATTAGTGCATCCTTTCTGCTACAAAAGTAAGCCATCCTCCGCAAGACACGCGCATATGGCTTACTCCTAGTTTAAGATAAAAAGCATATAATTTGCAATGGCTAGCTGTATCTCCATTTCTAGTCCTTTTTTGGCTACCATTTCTGGTCAGGTGCTGTACAAATTGCGGCTTAATTATGTTTAGCGTGTTACGACCTTCCTCTATGAGAGGATGATTAAAATGGGCTGGTTTGTGACTGTGATGTAACTCTTTATGGTACCTGCTTGTTCTAGGCAGTGGTATTGTAACCTCGGTGGCTATGGTAGTCGAATAGTTCAATATGTATTCCGTCGAAGGACCTCATATGTCCCGAACTAAATAGATGCAACATTCGAAAGTCACCTTTACACAGTTACTGATAAGTAAAAACACTCTTCTTCCGGGATAAATGGCTTAAAAGGTTTTGCGTCTGCTAAATACTACTGCCAATAAAAACAGGCGCTCAACTGAGTATTTCCTGTTTTTAGTCGTAATCAGCCGGCCTTACCTATTTCCTGACCAGAAGACCGACATCATAAAACCGTATCTGAGTAAATAGTGAAAATATTGGAGCACCTACAGTATCTATGGGTATGTAGCAACTGAGGCCCCTGCCTTAGTATGAACGCAATTTTGATAAACAAGTCAGTCTCGTTGGGAAATTTGAAAAAAAACGGGATGGCTTTTAAAAAGGTTGCTTATCAAATCGCCGTGTAGAAGGTAAAAAGTGCATCAAGTTATTAAATGCGATGTTTGAGATGCATTATTCGCTGAGGAATCTTCACCTTTCATTATATTTGGGGAACATGTTAGAAGATATCACATTTTTGTCCATTTGCCCTAAACGGCCGTTCAGGCTTGTTCATCAATAAAGGCAAAGGTCAACGAAAACACTTTCTTAAATAATACACTCAGCTTTTAATTTTCAGTTCTAAGAACAATGCTTATTTTACAAATAATTGAGTGGTTTGACTTGCTTTCGAAAAACATGGTTATCAAAAAAGCTCTTACGCGTTCAATCGTCTCGAAGACTGGTAGTGCCGCGCCAACAGCTCTGAGGAAGAATTCCATGAGCGGCAGTGATCGTCCAAGAGCAATTGAGCCGTAAACGACGTTCATAATTACCTTTGGTGGCAAATAAATCTCCCAAAATTGATTTGTTTTTAATGGATTAGATCTTTTGTGCTTTAAGCGAAAACAAGCTATAGAAAACCTCTAGGGAAAAGTAAACGGGACAATGAAAGAATATGCTAATTTTCTCTGATTTTGCCGGACAATGGAAATCTTAGCTGAGAGGCATTAAAATATTCATACCATTCATGCTCTTAAAACCTTAGCTGGATAAACGTTGGGAACTCGTCACCTCGTAG